GCATTTGTTTTATAGCCACCCTATTAATAAAGTCAGGAATTTCAAAATGTGCTGTAAGAGGGTTTTTATCTTAGATATACAAGAAGAAAAGATGATCCAATTTCATAGCTTATGGCCTCAATACACAGGTTTTGCCAAAAGAGGTGAAGCAGTTCAAATTATGCTTTTTCCACCACCCAAGCCTAAAGATCTTAGTTGCAGATTTTAACTTGTTTTTCAAATGTAATCATAATTTATAACATTTATATGTTATATTTTTCTATTATTACCTTTCTAGAATTGACCACTGGCCATGAGTAATTACAAGTATCTTTTTTTTTTTATTAGTTTCTCCAAATTTATTGTATTTTGTCACCAGAATTCACCTTGTAGAAAATGGAAGGGGCTAACATGTATATAATACTCATGTCAGGCTTAAAAATAGGATCCCACTAGAATTGTTTTATTCTGGCTGCAAGTTAAGAAGGTATTCAAGCTTCACTAAACAGTATTTGAAACAGGTAAAGTTTGCTATGTAGAACATCTTCACTGTTCATAGGGTCGTCGCCAGGTTTCTCAGGTATTTAAGACAGATGTGCATTAAATAAAGTCTCACCAAAAAAACCTTTAATCAATTTTATTCTTCATATTTGGGTAAGGGTACAGATTCTAGACCGTATCTGTGAAGTCATGGTGATAATCACTGTGCTAAAGATCATGGCTATAGGTTGGCTGAGAATTTAAAATGCAAGAAAAATCAGAAGCAGCACATCATTGCTTCTTATTCCAGGACATACAGAGAGTTTCTTCAGTAAGTACCACTCCAGTTGTCTTCACAATTTAATGCAACGGAAACCTAAATGTTTCTACTTCATCTATGAAATCATTCAATTGGCAGGCAAAACATTTTTATCACCTATTTATAAAAACATGAGAAAGGGAGGAAAAGTAATAGAATGTATAAACTCATGCTATCGTAATTCTAATGTCTAGCTATAAAGGCATATGGTTGTAACAATTGCTATCTAAAATTTTTATTAGCTGCAGTAGCTGCATTCCATTTTTATTACCATTTTTTAAAGTCTTTTTGCTTGGTCATCTAAAGACGTTTTTCAACTTTCAAAAGATCAGCTATTATTGTCCTCTTTGTGTCTCTAAGGAATTAATAAAATGCACGTTTATTTCCTTCTTTCTAAATGTTCCAGTTAAAAACTAAATAATACAAAAATGGGAAACATTTTCTTGGACCATTTTTTCTTTTTCACTGTAACAACAAAAGATGTGCAAGGTAAATAGAACTCGTTTTGTTTTATTTTTTGTCTGTTTGTTTTTTAACAAGTCTGTCCAGAATAATACAGGTTACATAGCTGTAACCATCTTAAGGAAAATGACATTAAGTTTGCAACAGTTACCAGCTGGTGAAAACACATTACTAGCATTTCAAAAATTTACAAAAATGTAACAAAATATCCTAAACAGCTATCTTTATATTTGTAAACGAAGTATAAACAACTGGCTTAACCAGTTTCCACTGCACATCAAACAGGTGGCAAAGTGATAGAGATCATCTTTGATTTTTAAAGGAGAATAATAAAAACTAATTTATATCCCACACATTACAATTCTAGGGGATTAGGAACAGGCTAACACATGATGTCATCTACTTTAACAGCCTTTTCATTTACTTGTATGGTCTTGATACTTGACAATTTTTTTATTCCTGTAACAGTATTGTTGCTGTAAAAGCCATAATTTTTTTTTATTTCCTTAAAGAAATCGTGTGATCCATTTCCCATTAGATTTCATAAACACACGTGAAACTTCAGATACAATAGGAGGGTGGTGGTTTTCTTTCAGTTTCTGAGGCCTTCTCTCTGAAACATCAGAGCTGATAATAGTTCAGCCTATACATGCATGCTGCCATAGATAATTGGGTGGTACGTGCACCTCCTATTTCAAAAACACAAGCAGAAAGTAGGTCTGGACAAGGGCAAACTGCAACTCAATTTCTGCTGTAACCCTATCTCAGGTAAGTTATGTTTATTCCTTCACTTTGCTGATATAGTCAGTGAGTCTGTTGATGCCTTCCTCCTGCTGTTCTAGGGCATCCAGGACAATGCCCATCGGTGTCCTCTTCAAACCTATTCCTTCCATTTTATTCTCCAGTTTGTTCTTGAGGTTCCGGAGTCTCAACGATGCATGGATAAACATCACTGCAGAGAAGTGACACCTGGTTAACACCAAAGCAATAATTCTCTTTTGCCACATCAATATTACACTCCCTCTCTTCACACTATTAGTAAACTGTCTTAGTTAGCTACAGTCCAGTCTGCTTCTCTAACTGATCCAAGCCTTCAAATGGCTCCTTGGACTTTATGTAAAGCTCTTCATCAAGTCATTATAGTTTTTTTTTTTTTTTTCTTTTCCTGCATTAAAGGAAAATGCTGTATTCAACAGGAAGGACCATTATCTGGAAGCCATACCCTTTCCTTCATGCACTGACATCATCACCTTGCAGATGCTACTTAAATGTCCTGAAATTCAGAGTGAATCAATGGGATTCTATCCTACCAAAAAAATCAACTTACCTGAGGCTTTCCAGAAAATAACTCTTGCTCAATTCAGGGATTATCTGTATCTTGTTCCCTGCAGGAGCACGTGAGTAAAGGTCACTTGTAAAGTGCCTCCCAGAGGCTTTACCCAAAGTGTTGGGTATAGAATTCTAGATGTAAAAACCTAAGAGCTTTACAGAGTTTGTATAGCCCATTGTTCCCCAGACTTGCTTATTTTACCACAGATTCCCTGTCCCCTTTCCTGGACCTCCTCTACCTGAGCCTTAAAGAGACAGGCCTGGGAATCTGTATTTTAAACAGGTAACCCTCTCCATATGATCTATACCAGTGGTTTTACAACTTCCATGTACGTTCAAATCACCTGGAGAGCCTGTTAAATAGGCAAATTCCTGGTCTCCACCACCCCAAATTCAGACTATTACAACTGAGGGAAGGCTCCAGAATGCATTATTTTAATAATGACTCCGGATGATTCTGATGTAGGTGGATCTTGAACCCTCATTTTGAAAAATACTGATGTGGATTCATCTGGAGGATCTAGAAATAGTTGAGGAGCTTTCTAAAAACATAACATCGTTGGGTGCCACTGTTGACCCACAAAATAAAGATGTGGCTGGGAAATTTATATTTTTAAAAAGTATCCTGGATGAGCCTCACAATTATCAGTTTGGGAATCACTTATTAGATAAGTGATTAGATTATTAGATTAGATAATCTCCTTACTTTAGAGATGAGTGAGCTACAGCCCATATAGGATGACTGGTCCAAATCACATGCTGGTTTCCAGCAGGTCTAAGAATAGAAATCAGGACTCTTAACTGTCTACCTCTGATACATTTCATTACACTGGCCTGTCTCAGATTCTGATGTGGAAAGGTATTAAAATTAGCAAGCTGTTTGATTAAATAGTATCATTGAAATACTAAGCCTATAGCACCTACAGAAAACCTGAAGAAAATTCCAAAAATGTTTGAATTTGTTGGCTCAAATATTTTATCCAATAGGGTATGGGATGTATCCACAAATATTCTGGACTTAATCTAACAAAGCCCTAAACAAGCAAATAATTTCATTTAGTGGAATAAATGCACATGTCAAATGTTATTGAAAGTTAAAGGGATGTGCCTGTCACTTAATACACTAGAATTTTAATTAGATTTCTGCTGATTAGGCTGGGATTTTATTTCTTCTCTATTTTAGGCTTCAAGTGTTTGGACTCTTAATAAATAATTCATGTAAAACTTAGAGAATATCTAGATCTCCTCACCAGAATCTGAGTATTTAGTACCTATATTCTGAGCCAATTATTCCTATAGACTTACCAAACTTTTAACACTAGCTATGATCTCCTGAGCAAGTGGAGAATAAATAGTTTACTTCCAAATAATAAATACATTCATTTCTGTATCAGGACAATAGGAATGGCACTTAAAAATTGACAGTAGACTCTCGTATTAGACAAATCTGGGGTCTAGTGCAGGTTATGCCACATTCCTGCTGTATGACCTGGGATTTGTCTTTGTTCTGTTTATTGTTTGTCCCCATAAGAATGTATGACAAACGGCTGGGCAAAGTGGCTCACGCCTGTAATCCCAGCACTTGGGGAGTCCGAGGTAGCTAGATCACTCGAGCTTGGGAGTTCAAGATCAGCCTGGGCAACATAGTGAAACCTCCGTCTCTACCAAAAACACAAAAAATTAGCTGGGTGTGCGCATGTGGTCCCAGCTATTCAGGAGGCAGAGGCTGCAGTAAGCCGAGATAACACCACAGCATGGGTGACAGAGTAGACCCCATCACAACAACAACAAAAAAAGAATGACCTCATAGTTCTTGACCTCAGTTCTGTGTTATCTGGGTCTAGTTGGATAACAAGTAGAAAGCTGTTTTAGAAAATTCTGACACTTTTGCTGACATGCCAACGCACATAAGAAACAGGTTATGGAATTCCCGTTGGATAACTGCTCCTACATTTTTTTTATGATGGAAGAAAAAACTCAAGTTCACTTACACAGCAAAGGAAAAGTAATGCCAAACACAAAGACCATGACGCCTCCAAACATGGATATAAGGAAATAACTCGCCAACATGACCACCATAACGAACGTCGTGGGGTAGCGCTTCTTCAGCCGGCGAAGGGCGTCCTTATTGTGGGCTGCCCACACAAACCCTGTGAACACCAGCACCACCACGATTCCTCCCAGGATCATGTTGAAGGGACTCAGAAACCTGAAATATGAGGAAGAAAAAATGAGGGGTGACTAGTTCAGCAATAGAAGTAGCAAAAGGAGAAAGAGAAGTAAAAAACAGTTATTGAGAACTTACTAATACTTTAATACTTTATCCGAATTGTCTCATTTGATTTCTCATAATCTTATAAAGGAGATAGTACTAGTTCATTTCTCAAATGAAGAAACTAAGGCACAGAGGTTAGAAAATGGTGGGGAAGTCCAGAAATGGTAGTTCACACCTGTAATCCCAGCACTTTGGGAGGCCGAGGTGGCAGGATCATTTGACGCCAGGAGTTCAAGACCAACCCAGGCAATATGGCAAAACCCCTTCTCTACAAAAATATGAAAATCAGCCAGGTGTGGTGGCACACACCTGTGTTCCCAGCTACTCAGAAGGCTGAGGTGGGAGGATCGCTTGAACCTCGGAAGTTGAGGCTGCAGTGAGCCAAGATTCCACCACTGCACTCCAGACTGGGTGACAGAGTGAGACCTTGTCTCAAAAAAAAAAAAAAAAGATGGAACTGAGATCACACCCAGGCAGTTCCCATCAAAGTAGTCCCTGTCTCATTAGAGGTCCACAATTTTGAAGACTAAAACTTCTTTTGAAGGTACTATGTTTAGCTTCCATACATCCTGGGCTCTAGTACACAGTAGGTTGTGTTTTCTTAACTCTAAGGGTTTATTTAAATCCTCATAGAAGCTCATGATGGATGAATGTACAATGCAGGCCACATAATGGCCTCCTTGGGCTACATCCAGTCTACAGTCACATTTTTGTTTGGCCTGTACAGTGTTTGAAAAAACTTTTACTTGAAACCCATGTATTTTAAAAAAAAAAAAATCCATAAAACTTGGGATTTCTTGTTCTCCTGGAACAAGAAAATCTAACAGTGCTAGGCCCACTTTCCCACATGTCAACAGCTGGCTTGAGTGCCTGCTCATTCAGGCAGAACAAACGCTCTCCATTGAACCCCAGTCCACACTGGTCTCTACTGCATCACGCACACAGAGGCCCACAGTGAGGTGCTATTAATCATTGTTTTTCTTTTTCTTTTTTGTCATTTGAGACAGAGTCTCGTTCTGCTGCCCAGGCTGGAGGGAAGTGGTGCGATCTTGGCTCACTGCAACCTCCGTCTCCCGGGTTCAAGCAACTCTTGTGCCTCAGCCTCCCGAGTAACTGGGATTACAGGCACATGCCACCATGCCCAGCTAATTTTTTGTATTTTCAGTACAGGTAGGTTTTTGCCATGTTGGCCAGGCCAGTCTTGAACTCCTAGCATCAACTGATTCGCCCACCTCGGCCTCCCAAAGTGCTAGGATTATAGGCATGGGTCACACCATGCCAAGTCTAATCACTGTTTTTCTAATAGCTGGCCTGAATCGCTCTCACATAATCTGCCTGCCCCATGGAGGCATTTGAGTTTATGATTTCTCACATACAGAGTTCATTATAAGTGTTTTTAAATACCCAAAGTACCATTAGGAGATGAGTTATCCATGCAGATTTTCAAGCACACAGTTCCAGATTCATTCTTATATAAGCCAAATGTTTAGTATGTGATAGCAATTACACTACTATTGATAATGGAGGAAACACATTATGTAGAAGAAATTTATGCTGGGCATGGTGGCACACACCTGTAATCCTAGCACTTTGGGAGGCCTAGGCAGGTGGATCACCTGAGGTCAAGAGTTCAAGGCCAGCCTGGTCAACATGGTGAAACCTCGTCTCTACTAAAAATGCAAAAATTAGCTGGGCGCGGTGGTACATGCCTCTAATCCCAGCTGCTTGGGAGGCTGAGACAGGAGAATCGCTTGAACTCAGAAGGTGGAGGTTGCAGTGAGCTGAGATCGTACCATTGCACTCCACCCTGGGCAACAAGAGGGAAACTCTCTCAAAATAATAATAATAAGAAGAAGAAATTTAGATGAAGTTTTGGGCATTATAGTCGCCCACCCCAAGCCACTGTGTATACAAAACCCTTAACAAGACATCTGTGGTGGGCTGGTACAATGAGTTATTTAACTTTTTACCCTAGAGGCTAATGAGGATTTTACTTGGGAAGGACACAGAGGGTAGTGTGTTTTCCTCATGCCCTGAATAGTAACATTGCTGATTTGAAAAGAGGGATGGGGGAAGACAGGATAAGGGAAGGTGATGCCAAGAGCTTACTTTCTCTGAAATGGAAGAGATGAAGAACTCATGCTCATACTGGGATTCATATTTAGGATAAACAATTCTTTTTCAAAAATTCCTTCAAATTTTAGCTCTCTGTTTCTGCCTACTGAAGCATAAAAGGAATTTTGAACATTTTTAAATTAAGAGTGAAAGCTTTTCACACCTGAATGGGTGAAATTAAGGGATAAAATCAATGTCAAACTGCTTTCAAAAAGCTAAAAATTTCTATTAAGATGCACAAAGTTAAACAATGGCAAGAGCGGTTGCACTTTTTTTTTTTTTTTGAGATGGAGTTTCACTTGTCACCCAGGCTGGAGTACAATGGCATGATCTCGGTTCACTGCAACCTCTGCCTCCCAGGTTCAAGCAATTCTCCTGCCTCAGCCTCCCTAGTAGCTGGGATTACAGGCACCCACCAACACGCCCAGCTAATTTTTGTATTTTTAGTAATGATAGGGTTTCACCATGTTGGCCAGGCTGGTCTCGAACTCCTGACCTCATGTGATCCAACCCCCTTAGCCTCCCAAAGTGCTAAGATTACAGGCATGAGCCACCATGCCCAACCAGTTGTACATAATTTAAAACTAAACTCTACAATAATAAGTTGCTTATTTCATTCAAAATCCTTGCAAATACACCCTTCAAGCCAATAAATCCCCTCCTCAGAATATAGTCTAAAGAATTAAACAAAAATGCAAAGATTGAGTTGTAACAGTATTGATATTAGTGGTATTTATGATCAAAAACTTTCAGAAAAAACCTATATGGCCAACAATTTACTGTCGTATTGTATACACAGCTATTTTTAAAACACTGAAGTGCATTTAATAATATGGGAAAACATTATATGTTGAGTGGGTAAAAGCAACTGTAATACATAATGCATTCTCTGTTAGGTGGATTTATCATACAAGTTAGATAGTTCAGAAGTAGAAATTTCTAGGCTGAGCGCAGTGGCTCAAGCCTGTAATCCCAGCACTTTGCGGGGCCAAGGTGGGTGGATCTTTTGAGGTCAGGAGTTCGAGACCAGCCTGGCCAACATGGTGAAACCCCACCTTTACTAAAAAATACAAAAATTAGTTGGGCCTGGGCTGGG